GGAGGGAGAGGGAGAAGGGAGGGGGAGGAGAAAGGGGGAGAAAAGGAGCAAGAGGGAGATGAAGGGGGGCTATGGGTAGAGAAAGAGCTAGGGCAGCTCCTTTACGTCACTGAGAGAAGTTAACAGAGTCTGAATGAGGCACTTCCACTGGGTCCTAATGCCCAAGATGTTATTTTTGTTTTTCATAGTCTCAGTAGTTAAAGCTAGAAAGAAGAGTTCTTAGGTCTAATCTCTTTCAGTTCATCCCCTTTCCTCTACAAACAAGTTCTGACTCTCATAAAAAGACAACAAGATGTGCTTTTCCCCCTTAGAGCTCAGCTGTAAGAAGATTTCAAGTTTATTTTAAAGGGACTACTGAGACACTGCCTTGGGGAACATGCAAAGAAAATCATATTGAGATAGAGTATGTGAGATGAGCTCAGGGCTTCCCCACTTTTCATTTACAATACTCTTAATGCACAAAGAAAGAACAAACAGAGAAGCACACCAAAGAGCAGAGACAAGCAAAACAGAGTATGGGAGATAACTAGTTTCAGATCCTTAGACAGTTGTTTCTCAAGCGTCACACTGATAGGCTGATGCCCCTTACTCCTATTTCAGATTCTCTGAGGAGTTCATACTTAAGAAGGAATTATCAAATTCAATTATATCATGAAACTTAGTCCCCAGTAATTTCTTTAACAATTGGAAGCTATCTTATTTGATGCTTTATCCTACTATGTCCTAGATCCATGAATCTGAAACTATCACAGTAACTCACCAAACCAGGAATTTATGTCCAAATTGAAGTTCACGGAGTTGGGATGTCTGCTTTAAGTTGCCTCTGAGATGTTTAAAAAAACAAAAAAAAGTTTTAAAAAAAACATATGCTCCGAAAAGAAAAAAAAACCAAAACCAAAATTCTTAGTAAAGAACAGTAACTTAAGAGTCAAGAACCTAACATAGTTGCCACAACACTTACCTCTAGTAGTTTCAAAAGGATGTCCTTGTAGGAGTAGTTTTAACAAGAAACCAGTAACTTAAAAGTAACACTTACTAACCCCAACCAATCCAAGGGGAACAGGGATGTAGAATGAAAGCCTTTAAATCCCTTCATAAGACCACCTTGCTGCCATTACAGTATTCTCTTGAGACCTAAGTTGACCCTGTTTGCTTTTTCACAACAAACATTAAAGACAAACTCTCCCTCAAATGAAGTCCTGGTCGCTATTCTAGTTTTCCTGTCACTTTTTGGCTATGATCATGGAACAGACAGTATTAGCATTCTGCAGAATAAATACACACACCCCACCCCCAATCTTTAACTTTCATTTCCCATAGGACAGGAAGTGCCTGCTCTGCTCAAGGGACACAGGAAGGGTGGGAACAACCTCAATGTGGGAATTACAACTGAGGTTGGAAACACAGCAGCCAAATGCAGTAAATAAATAAAAGCAACTCTCACTGATACCATATATTTTTTAATGACCCTTTTCTTACCTCAGAGATTCTCACAAACCAATTTATCCTTGCTGTTTAGGCCCTTGGATGATATCATCTTTAACCCAATAATGTAGTATAGAACCCTTCCTCTTGAAGGCCTGATTCATAAGGGCAATCAACTCAATTTAATTTTTTTAATGTAATTTTTTAAGGCTGAGTTTTAAAATATATATATAGTCAACCTAATGAGTATGAAGGGGTATCTCATTATTTTTTTGTTTTTGTTTTTATTTTAATAAATTGACCACTTATGGCCAGGCATGGTGGCTCATGCCTATAAACCCAATACTTTGGAAAGCTGAGGTGGGAGGACTGCTTCACTGGGAGTTTGAGACCTCTATGAGCAATATAGTGAGACCTCATCTCTAGATTAAAAAAAAAAAAAAAAATTGGAAGGCTGAGATGGGAAGAACTGCCAGCACCCAGCAGGTTGACGTTGGGGTTACCATGAGCATGCCACAGCACTACAGTCTGGGTGACAGAGCGAGACTCTGACTCAAAAAAAGAAAAGAGAAAAAATTGAAAACTTATCTCTGTATATATTTATGGGGTACAAAGTGATGTTATGGTTTACAAATACAATGTGGAATAATTAAATCAAGCGAGTTAGCATATCTATCACCTCAAATACTCATTACATTATATGGTAAGTACCTTTGAAATTTACTCTAGCAATTTGAAATGTGTAATACACTACTATTAACTACTTTCACCACACATGTAGTAGATGTAAAAAAAAACACAAATTTAGCCGGGCTCAGTGGCTCAGCCTGTAATCTTGTGCCTTGGGAGGCTGAGGTGAGTGGATT